CTGTCACAAAGCTACACTAGGAGAGTCAAAGATCATTACCAACTACTTCTACTTAATAGTCTCTAATTTCCAATTGACGCTACCTTACTTTTCCTATAAATAAAATACAGGAATCAATAATGATAAAAATACGTCATAGCTTCAACATTAACAACCCAAAGTGCTGTCTAAGCAGAAAGTGAGTTCCTAAGTTAACTTGGAAGCGACCACGTGTGGACTTTAGTCTATCAACGGCGCTGTGTGTGTCAATGAGCCTAAGTGGGGAAAATCAGTAACAATTTCACTTGTCAGTGACTGTGACACTGAACCTTCCAGGCTCCATTTAGTTCCAAGGGACCGAATCTGAACGTGGAATCCAACAGACACAACAAAGCCCCCAAAGTCTCTACTCACTGGCCTGAGAAAGGGCTTCTGGACCTGCTTCGTGAGGATGTGGAACATGTCCACGGTTTCCGTTGCCAGGGCAAGATAGGAGCGTGACACCCGCTCGTCCTGAGCCAGCTGGGACTGCCGGGCCTGCTGCTGGTCCTGGGAAAAGTGAGCAGAGGCCAAACAAATCTCAGGACTAGTCATCAGCTCACCGACACGCCAAGCGAGAGAGGATAAATAGTCAGCTCGTAAGTGGAAAAGCCATCGCGAAGCCAGCGTCCCTAGGGAATGACAGGACAGCCCACCCCAGGGAACCCTCCAGACCACTGAAGCCTGTCCTGTCCGCATCAAACTCTTTAGGGCTTTGAGTAAGGCGACCTTGGCACATCATTTAACTTACACAGACTCAGTTTCCTTTGTGATAAAAAAATCGCCATCAACTTCTTCGCAGGATGAAATGAGTGAATCTTATGTCATGTCTGATACATGTTCATTTCCCTTAATAAAGACTTTTATTTAGCATAACTTTAAAAACATGTGATATGATACTGAGACCTGTGGGTTTTGTACATGCAGGAGGCAACCAATTGATATGTCTCACATCAATGTTTTTCTCTCTCTCTCTTGCTCCCTTCTTCCCCCTCTTCCACTTTCTCTAAAAATCAATATCCTCAGGTGGCCCTAGCTGGTTTGGCTCAGTGGATAGAGCATCAGCCTGCAGACTGAAGGGATCTGGGTTTGATTCTGGTCAAAGGCACATGCCCGGGTTGTGGCCTCGATCACCCGTAGGGGGCCTACAGGAGGCTGCCAACTGATGAATCACTCTCATCATTGATGTTTCTATCTCACTCTCCCTTTCCCTTTCTCTCTGAAATCAATAAAAAATTTTCTTACATACACACCCTGGGGTGAAGATTAACAACGAAAAGATGGAGCCTAGAAGTTCTGCTGAGAGGGAGAGGAATGAAGGATGACACGGGGGTGCAGCTGTCGTTTGCCGAGAGTGGGCGGACCTGGCGAGGTCTGGAGGGCTACACAGCGTTCACTTGAGACAAGTTAAGTCTGAGTTCCCTATAGGACCACCTGGCAGAGAGGAAGGTCAACAGCGGTTATAGAGTCAGGAGAGACCTGAGCCGGGAAGGCACATTCTGGAATCCTAAGAATACAGACATTTAAAGGCTTGGGACAGAGGAAATCACCCAGCAGTGATTTTCAACGGGGGCACCAGGCCACGTGCAGCCGTCTCTCGCTTCCTGCAGACTCAGGGAGGAGGGCCCATCACTGACATTACATGGGCGTGAGCCAGAGATGTAAATGTCCTGCAGTGTATGGGACAGTCGTTCATAATAGAGTTATTATTATATCAAAATTCTACTACATTCAAAATACCAACCAGCACCCTGAGAAAACACCGACCTAGGGAGTAAGGGTGGAGAGAGGAGCAGCCGGGGGGCTGGGCACCGGAGCGCAGGGGGTGGGGAGGCGAGGAACAGGCAGGGAGGTGGAAGCTGGGAAGTGACTTCAAAGTCAAACGGAAATGATTTCTAAATTGCACTTGTTAGAGATTATTTATGACCCTTTTCCACCCATTAACACAGACAAAATCAATGTTATCTGTTCAGTCGTCTCCAACAAGTGCTATGAAGCACTGACTGTGAAGAAGATGACGTGCAAAGACCCGTATCCCAACATCTACAATACACGCTGGTCCAGGAGAAGCCTCCTAAGTGGATGACACACTAGCGTAGACAAAGCTGAGACTTTGCAGCGACACTGATGGGGGAGGACAACCAGACGTCAAATATGACGTCAGCAGTAGCTGGCAAGGGCCTGGCAACTGAGCGGGGACCATCCACATGGTTGCAGTGCATGTCGGGGCGGGGCAGTGGGCCGTCGGAGGCAAGACATGATTTCCTCAAGGAACCTGGCAAAATAGCCTCTTTTCCACTAGTAACTGAATAGAAAAGCGAAGATCAATGGAAAGAAAAACCCCACTAGAATCCTGAGTGATGACCCAGATGCCTAAAGATCACATGACATTCTTGTCTCGCGGACAGAATTTGAGATTTACTCCTAGTTACTTTCATAAATCTTAATAACATATCCAGACAATAAAAGCTCTTCTCCAAAAAGCCCTTTAAAATAAAAAGGCACAAGTTCTAGACACCAGGAAGACTTGGTAACTCACTTCTTAGCTTCAGAGCAAGTGTTAAGTTTTCTCCTGCCCCAAACCTGGGATGTAACTTCATGGAAGCCCCCAGGTGGGAGGTAGGACGCACCGACGAGAAGTCAGAGTTACGTCACGGGCCCCCACACGCAGCCCCGCGGGGGCCGAGGCAGCTCCCGCCAGGCCGCGCCGGCCCCTGTGCTCACCCGGGGCAGCTGCTCCCACTGCTCTTTGTTCTTCATCTCCTCTTGCACCTCGTGGATCCGCTTCAGGGACTCCAGACTTTCATCGAGCAGAAACGTCGTGTCATTGATCAGCATGTTTATATAGCGAACGAACTGCTTCCCAGAGCTGCAAAGGCATGTACACGGGACACGGTTACACACCTCCCTCCACCGAAACACCGCAGCAGAACCCAGAGAAAAGGGCCACGCATGTCGCCCTACAAGACCTTGGCACAACTTGAATACCATGAAGGTCAAGGACTACAAGTCTCTCCTTAGACTGTGTTGCCCTTTGGAATGAACTGTGATGCGCTCACCCCAGTAACGTGCTGGAGACACCTTGCACGACTCCTGAGAGCCAACTGCTAATATTTTGGAATTCTATTCTGAGCAGATTCCCGTGGCAGCTTACATTTGGCAACAGTGGACGTGCTTATACTCCAGAAAACCAGGACATACTGATACCTTTTCCCTTCAGAGAGGAGGTTTACCAGCACACCCCTGGCTCATTCCCTCAAGGATTTTAAGCAGAGAAAACACTCTTCCAGACTGGGAAAAAAACATGCTTAAATTTGCCAGGATAAAGAAAGCACAAGTAATTACCCACCTTTAAGAGACAAGAGAACGACTGACAGCTATTCCCATTATAAAGCAGACGCACTGAAGGAAAACTGGAGCCTAGCCAGCGTGGCTCAGCAGCTGAGCACTGGCCCAGGAACCAGGAGGTCACAGCTCGATTCCAGGTCAGGGCACATGCCCAGGTTGTGAGCTCGATCCCCAGTAGGGGACGTACAGGAGGCAGCCGATCAATAATGTTTCTCTCTCCCTCTCTCTCAAAAATCAATAAAAAAGGACAAACTGGAAGCTGTAACACTGACAGAGTGGGTCATTAACTTGCTACAGAGAGCGCGAAGCTCCCAGCCCATAGCACTGTCCTGTGACCTGTTCTAATGCAGGGACTCGCTGGTGACGGAGACAGCCTGGCCTACCTGTTAGGCTCTGGAAGGTTAGTAGAGAGAGGAGGACTACACTTCAGGACCGCCCACAGAGCATCAGGGCCGGCCAGCCCAGCCTGGGGCACAGAAGCTCCCTGGACAAGGTCAGAGCCTGGACTCCAGGGACGTGGAAAGTTCCCGAGCCCCACGCAGAACCAGCTGTGGGCCTGCCTGGTTTCCTACGCCGGGGCCAGGCTTCCGCTGGAACATAATTCGGACCAGAAGAGCAGTTCATGGAAACAAAGAACTACCTCACAGTTTCCTTTGCAGCAAGCTATTTAGCAGATGGTGACTCCACTGGAAATACGGACATTATTGACTCGTAATCAGTGAACGAAGGACCGCCAGGCCTGATCAAAGATCTAACGGGGGCTGCAAAAAAAGGTCCAAGTAGATGGGATAAAACTTCTCCTGGAGAGTAAGGCGAGAGTTCAACCTTTCTGCCTACCTTTCTTTTCAAAGTAATTTAGATGGAATTACTAATGTAAGGTTCAGGTAGGAGCTAAAATTTCAGAGGGCCAATGAAAAGTCCTTACTCCTTATTCAGTGCTTAGAGCCTGACTACAAATACAGAACACGACAACCCTAACCTAACTGCTTCTGAATCTCAACACCTCCGAACATTCCCAGCTCTGCAGCTTGGTATCATGTTCAAGAACACAGTAAGATCTCGCTGCAGTCATTCCGACAACCTCCTTTAACACGGTAATCACGAAACACTTAACACATCGTCTCAGAATAACTGTGATTCTTTCCTTATGTGCACCGTCCCCAAGGTCCCGTGACCAACCTAGAGTTCAGCAATGTCTCGTAGGCACAGACATTTAGATGACCTGCTCACGTTCGGCAGTACCTTCTGGAAACTTAAAGGCGGCCGAGACCAAGCACACAGCCAAGAGCCGGCTGTGAAGGCTTTGGAGCAGCCACTCTCCCTGTGCTCTGCAAGGGGCCAGGCAGTGACACTGGGGGCGCAGTACTCACTTGAACTCCTCCATGAAGGTGCCGTGGTGAGCGATGTTCTGCCAAAGGCTTTTAAAGATGGTGCTAATGTGGTAGCGAATGGTGAACTTGTCATAGAACTCGCTGGTCGCTCCGGTATGCTCGACGTCTAATAAAGAAAGACACGCGTGTCATATATAAACTGACTGGAAGGATACGGAGAGAAATGTTCCTAGGCTCTCTATTGAGTGCAGGGATTATCAATGCCTTTTATTTTCTTCTTGGTATGTTCTGTATTTTCCAATACATTTTTTGTGACTAAAACCACCAGACACCTGCTGAGCTCACCCTGCCCGCTTGCCGGCTGCAATCCCCCCTTGCACGCTGGCTGTTTCCTTACCTGATTCATTAAGCTGCCCGGCCTCAGGCCTGGACACCTGCTGCCTCCTTCGCCTCCCACTGCGGCTGAGATCTCCTAAGACTCACGCTTTTGTCTCATTTTCAAGGTTACTCCAAGTCCTCTTCTCAGCGACCCTCCCGGCCTAGCTTCTCAAAGTGGCACCCCGCCCCCCCATGAGAGTATATGATTTATGGGTCAGCATCTGTCTCCCACCTGGAACGTCTGACCCAGGGTGGCAGGCATTGTGCCATCCTCACCGACAGGCCCTAGCATCAGAACCAGCCCGACACACAGGAGCTTCAAAAGCACGTGCTGCATCAGTGCCTGGTCTACTTGGGCTAAGGCTGGCCTTGGTGACTAGATCGGCCTGGGAAGAGGAGTCTTGAAATAAGCCATCAGTGTCCCTCTAAGTTCTGAGTAGCAGACTTTTGAGAGCTGGTCCTTACAAATAAATACTTTTATTTGGAAACTGAACTTTCCTTTAGAAACAAAAATTTGATCTTAAGAATTTCCTAAGCGAGCCTATTCTCCAGTGGTTCTCAACCTTCTGGCCCTTTAAATACAGTTCCTCATATTGTGACCCAACCATAAAATTATTTTTGTTGCTACTTCGTAACTATAATGTTGCTACTGTTATGAATCGTAATGTAAACATCTGATATGCAGGATGGTCTTACGCGACCCCTGTGAAAGGGTCGTTGGACTGCCAAAGGGGTCGCGACCCACAGGTTGAGAACCGCTGCTATCCTCCCTGGGGTGCAAAAAGGTGCTTGTTCTGTATCTCAGTCTCTCACATTCCTGGGAGGCAGGCGTGTTCTGGGGTGAGGACCTGCGTCCGCAGGCCTCAGCAGGGTGTGATGGGCATGCGGGGAGTGTGTGCGATGCCCCACTGCAGGCCCTCTGGCGCCAGGGCCTTGGGAACCGTGGGAGGCACAGCACAGAAGCCAGGAGCACCTGTGCTACAGCCCAGCTGCCGAGGTTGCTGCCTCGCTAGCTGCTGACCTTCAGCAAGCTTCTTGACCTTTCAAGCTCCGGTTTCCTCACTTGTAAAATGGAGGTATTTATAGCGCCCATCTTGAGGCCTGTGGTTGGGATTAAGTGGAAGGATCAGTGAGGATTCAGTAAGTGGTGGCTATTCTTAGCAAGGGTATCAGCTGTCCATGACCACAGAGGTGTCCAGGGCCAGAGGGCACACTGCCTGGTGGGAGGGGAGGGAGAAGAGCACCTGCCCGCCAGCTTCTGGGACCTGAACAGCACTGGTCTCGCCGGGGAGGCCCAGCTCCATCCCACACACCTACACCCTATCCCTTATCAGAAGCCAGTGACAGCTGCAGGCATGGGGTACAAAATACATGTAACTTTTTTAGTTTTAACACTAACAATGCATGTTTACTGAAGAAAAATTTAAAAGTTCAGGTAACAAAACAAACAAACAAAAGAAATGAACTACCCATAATTCCCAGGGAACCAGTAGCACGTGCTCTGCTCCCAGTGGGCTACCGAGCCACACGTGTTAGTGGATGTCAGCACATTCGGTAACTTCACCGCTGGCTTCAGACGGCCTTGTCGGCCTGTCTACCCAGGAACCTACCTGTGTAAAACTTCATCAGGGAAGGGACCAACAGTTTGGTGGAGAGGGGATGGTTCTCAATCATTTCAAAGAACTTCTGCGTCCGCGGCTGAACAGCCGGGTTGGTCATGAACATGACTTCCACCAGCTTGGCCACCAGGTACGGGTTGCGGATGTAGTTCTGGTTGCACAACATCACGACGAGGAACATCACGATATCCTGAGTGCAGGGCTCGTACAGCACCTGAGGCGAGTATCTGAAGGGGGGGTGGGGGGAGAGCGCGAGATGAAGCCCCGAGTCTCACCCTGGGTGGGCGCTGGGGTCCTCGGGAGGGGAGGTGGCCAACAGGTCCCGGAGCCGGGATGCTGAGTCCCCTTCAGTTTGCTGAGTTGATGGTGACTACTTATGTCATAACTAGACACATTTAAAATCCCTCATGTCTACGGGCCACCACATTGTAGACTAACTTACTATGTTTTAGAAAATAAACCAAAGCTGTGATTAAATCATCACATGGATTTCAAAGATCTTCAATACCCAAACACTTAAAAGATATTTTAATAGAGTTATTTTCATTTCAAAGAAGCCAGTTATAAACTCAACCCATTACTTTGCTACCTTTCTCCAATTCTACCATTGAGAAAAATTTGGGTACAAAATATAGATGTGGTTATTTCTGGCTTTTGAATGTTCACTCAGATATTTATAAACCGCTCCTGTTTCTCAGAAACACATTCTCCATCATTAGAAGTTCAACTCCATTTTCACAGAAGACATTACTGCCAGCATCGTTAATCCTCTTTGCCTCTGAGATATTATTGGAATTGGCCTGGTGCCACAGTTTGGATTTATTTTTCCAATCTCCAGGCAGCAGTTAAAGCAGAGACACAAAACTTCCGGCATAAAATGGAGGTCTGTAATATAATTAATCATAGAATATGCACAAAACATATAAAAACATATAAGTTCTATGTAGTAGGGTAAAGAAACTTACTGTACAATAAAAAATAAAAATTCAGCAATATCTTCTACATAAAACTCAGGCAATGCTGCAAACGCCTTGGGGACGTCTGAACTTAAAGGCAGTGTTACACTGTCAACGAGAAAAAAGCACAGGTCACAGATGAGACGACAGTTCCGGCCACACTTTTAATAACACTTTCCACGCCTGCAGAGGGCTCCCACAGCAGGACACACAGGCTTCGTAACAATAACATGAGAACAGTAAGCTGTACAGGTGAGGATACAAGGTCAACCACGCTCTCAGCGCAACAATAAAATGTTATCTCTAGCTTTTTTAAAAAAATTGATTTCAGAGAGGAAGGGAAAGGGAGAGAGAGAAACATCAATGATGAGAGAGAATCTTTGATCAGCTGTTTCCTGCACGCCCCACCCTGGGGACCAAGCCCGAAAATCCGGCAGGTGCCCTGACCAGAAATCAAACCGTGACCTCCTGGTTCATAGGTCGATGCTCAACCACTAAGCCAAGCCAGCCAAGCTTATCTCCAGCTTTTAGCTTCCAACTTATAGATTCCATTTTCTATCGATCAAAGATTGATAAAAATAAAGCCAAATTTTACAAAGCACTATGTCAAATTAAAATTGCAGGTGTTGACATTCCCTTAATACTGTAACTAATTACAGGGAAAATATTAATATTACATACTCTACATAAGCACAACCTGGAAATTGAAAAAATGAATTCTTTATTTGTTTAGCTTTTTTTTAATCCTCACCTGAGGATATTTTTCCATTGATTTTAGGGAGAGTGGAGAGAAAGGGAAAGACAGAGAGAAACATCAATGTAAGAGAAAGACATGGATTGGTTGCCTCCTGCACTAGCCCTAACCAGGGCCTGGGCCGGACAGGAGCCTGCAACCGAGGTATGTGCCATTGACCGGAATGGAACCCAGGACACTTTCAGGAGCCTGCAACCGAGGTGTGTGCCATTGACCGGAATGGAACCCAGGACACTTCGGTCCACAGGCTGACGTCCTATCCACTGAGCCAAACCGGACAGGGCAAAAATGAGTTCTTGGTGAGGGGAGGGTTTGGGTTTCACTTGTGGGCTGTGAAGAGCAATACGCTCCCCACAGCCCTGACAGAGGAAGAGCGCACTCACTCGGGGTAGGCGGGGTCCAGGATGCGGAGCAGCAGCTGAATGAGAAGGCCATAAAAATTCAGACATCTTCGCAGGAAGCTCTCGTCAAGTAAACCAGCGTCAGCGCAGGCCTTGCATCGTACCAGTTTCTGTGGAAGCAGGTGTGGCCCGGCCATGGTTAGTTGGCACTGAGCCCCGGCAGCGTGCTGGGCGGGGTGGCCCGGGAGAGGGGAGCGGGGCATCCAGAGCTTCCCCGCTCACTAGCTTTGGGTCGTGTTCTAAGAAAAACAAACGCTATGCCACACGGACGCTGGGCACACAGCCCAGCACTCAGCTCAGAGGCAGGTCACTGCTGTCACATCTGAGTGACTTGGGGAGCTCTTCGGGGGCCAGGGATGATTAGTGGGAAGAAGCCAGACAGGGCACCACGCACGAGCTGCCTTTGGGGAAAACGCTTGTCCCCTACCTCAGAGGATCACTGTGGGAATAAGACACACGCACATGCGCACACACTGACATTAATTTAAACAGTTTGTGGGCTCCTTGATGCGTCCTTTGGAGAGCTTAAGGGTTCTGCAGACCCCAGACAAGAGCCCCTGCCTTATTCTGCATCTCAAAGGGGTCCAGTGTCTTAGCAAAACTAAATATGACCTTAACGTGTGACAGAAATCCAAGCCAGATTAATCAGCAGAAAGCACGACCAGCTGACACTAGCTTTCTAATTTGAATATAAACCTAAGAAAAATGTCTCAATTTGCTATCTGTGCTTCCCTCGTACAACCTTTTCATCTATGTATGCTTCACGAGCGGAAATCTTCCCATCCACAGTTAGTTCTGTGTGATGGACCATTTCCAATTAAAAATGAAGAATGAGGAGGTGCAAAAGAAAGAAATCTTTCCACGACCACGAATCTACTTTGCCACACACCATGAACACGCATGACTGGAAGGAATGGTGTGTGCTTTGGGGGCAGGGTGGCAGGGTTGGGGGTAATAGGAGGGGAGGGCACTGCATAAGGTAGGGAACGGGAGGAGATGCTAAACTGAGGATGATAACATCGACTAAGAATTCATGATGTCGTTGGCATAGCACTTGATAGTTTGTCCTGAGGCTTAAATGTTATATAGATACATGTGAACTATCAACAAGTTTTAGATGCACCATTTTATCTCGGCGGGTGGGGGGGGTTGGGGGAAGTGGGGAGGGAGAATAATGAAGAAAAAATAAGGACACGAAACTGCTTACTCGGGGCACATATCCTGAGGGAAATACACTATTATGAGGCTGATCGATACTTATCCCAATTACCTATACGGACCTTAAGCTGAGTTTTGCAGCGCTTCAGCATTTCACGGTGTCTAGTTGCAAGGGGGGAATCTTTCCATTGGCTTTCATTATTTTTCAGATCTTCTACGGTTCTGAAATCAAAGACGAATGGTCAAATGAAAAGAAAACACACACACCCACTATCTATCTTATCTGTTCATTCTGACCATTTCATTGACTCTCAGACACATATTTCCCCCCAATTTTAGCATTTCGAAAACCAGAGGAGGTCTTACAATCAATGCACATTATGGTTTAATTGGCAGCATTTTTCTTTCTTATTGATTCCTAAAATGATGTCGTAAAAGTGATGACACTTTATTTATTCATTTACTTATTTAACATATTTTACTGATTTCAGAGAGGAACAGAGAGGGAGAGAGTGATAGAAACATCAATGATGAGAGAGAATCATTGGTCAGTTGCCTCTTGCACGCCCATGACTGGGAATCTAACCAGTGACCTCTTGGTTCCTGGGTTGATGCTCAACCACTGAGCCACACCAGCCGGGCTCTTGATGACACTTTAGATGTGATGAAATATAGTAACCTCTTTTAGAAGGAAATACATTATTGTTCCCTTGTTTTTCTTGGAGGGAGAAAAAGAGGTCTCAAGAAAATTCAAGGTTACTATGCCTGTTCAATTACCCAAAACAAAAGGCAAAAAGGCAGCCCTAACTGGTTTGGCTCAGTGGATAGAGCGTTGGCCTGCGGACTGAAGGGTCCCAGGTTTGGTTCCGGTCAAGGGCATGTACCTTGGTTGCGGGCACATCCCCAGTAGGAGGTGTGCAGGAAGCAGCTGATCGATGTTTCTCTCTCATCAATGTTTCTAACTCTCTATCCCTCTCTCTTCCTCTCTGTAAAAACATCAATAAAATATATTTTTTAAAAAAAGGCGAAAAGGCGACTTCACTGATGGCATTTCCTCCTTTTCTTTTATAATCGTCGCCTCTGCTTGGAAGACCCCTCTCTGTGATCACCTTTGCCACCTACTCCTTCACTCCCTTCAGGTGTCTGTCCAAGTATCACCTGTCAGTGAGGTAGTGCCCCCGATCGGTAATAATGCTGCACATTTTAAAGACTGTTCACTTAACATTATTACAACCCCTTTCGATCAAGGCACTATAAGGAACTAGAGGTTTATCTTTAAAAACAAAACAAAACAAAAAAACACTACCATTCCCAGACTCCCTTGCTGCCAGCATTTCTGCACATGACCTAGTCCACCAAGAGGCCGAAGCCTCACTGAAAGCAGAAGTGAACGTTGCCAAATGGCAGCCACATGGTTCTGGGAGCACTTGGTGGAGGCTCTACTGTCTGGCTGACCCCTGAAGCAGCTTCCTGCCAGGCCAGGCTCAAAGGAGAACCGTATTTCCAGCCATTTCAAGGATTCAATAAACCAAATGGTAACCTTTAACAATCCTGATACACTAGAGTACTCTGTGTGCAACTGTGCGTGTGATAGAACAATGCTCCCCGCTAATGTCACGTCCCAACCCCCAGAGCCTGTGCACGCGTTTGTTACCTTACATGCAACAGGGGCTCTGCTGATGTGAGATGATGGACCTCGAGATGGGAGGTGATCCTGACTGTGTGGGTGGGCCCAGTGTCACCACAGGGAGTCAGGGTAAGAGGAGGAGGTGTGAAAGCAGAGGAGGGAGAGCGAGCTCAGTATGCTCTGCTGCCCATTTCGAGATGGGGGAAGGGGCCACGAGCCACGGGATGCGGGCGGCCACCAGAAGCTGGAAAAGGCAAAGGAAGAGCTTCCTCCCCAGAGCCTCCAGGAAGAATGCAGCCTCGACTTTAGGACTGTGCCCCCCAGAACTGTAAGATAATCATTGATGTTGTTTTAAGTCATGAAAGTGTGGTAATCTATTGCAGCAACAACTGGAAACTAATACGATGACCTATATTACTGGCACCAGAAGAGGACACACAGGTAACAGGCCCTCAAGAGAAACGGGCCTCTGGGATTAGTTCTCAGACGGGGCAGTGACGATTTGGGCACCTCAGGACAGAACACTGGCAGCCCAAGGCTCTCCGTGGAAAAACAGCTGCAAGAATGGCCACCAGCGATCTCCGGGAAGGAAGACACGGGGGCTGCCTCTACGTGGAGAGCTTACAGAATACAAGGACAGGCCAGGATACTCAATCTCACCTCCAGGAACGTCAATGAGCCAGGGAATTCTAAGATGACCATAAAGTAGCATCTGGTCCCACCAAGCATCACATTATAATATAAACTGAATCAATAACCTTACTAGATCTCTTAGCTGTAAGTGAGAGCAAAAACGGGAACTCCAAGAATTCAAAAGGAGCCTGGGAGACTTTGATGACTTCGAGGTGGTCATATTACAGGAGAATGCCAAATTCCCTTTCAATGCCCCAGAACCATAACCAGAGTGAGACCAATTTCTGTCCTTACCGGCTAATTACAAAGTCAGATGCAGGGAATTCATATTGGAAAAAAAAAGAAGGGCAAGGTTTGCTAGTTTGTCATATTCATTTCCCATGGCTAGTGTAACAAGCTTGCACAAACTCGGTGGCTTAAACAACAGAATTATCGGGCCAGAGCTCCGGAGGTCAGAAGTCTTATGTGGTCAGCGTTCCTCCCGAGGCACTAGGGAAGAACGCGTCCTTGCCCTTGCCAGCTCCTAGAGGTCACCTATGTTCCTTGGCTCATGGACCAACCACATCACGCCGACACCTGCTTCCGCCATTACGTTTCCTTTTCTCACTCTGTGCCTCCTGCCTCCCTCTTATAAGGGCCCTTATAATATTGGGTCCACCCAGATAGTCCAGGAAAATCTCCCATCTCAAGATCCTAAACTTAATCACATCTGCAATGTCCCTTTTACCATGTAAGGTAACGTGTTCACAGGTTCTGGGGTCTAGCACGTGAACATCTTTGACACCGTTACTCTCCCTACCGCACACGAGGTGACAGAAATGTGGGAGTATGTGTGGGAATGGATCTTAAAGGGCTTCATCAGCAAGAGAGGAGCGTGTAGGGCAGCTTCAATGACATGGTTACACCCACCAGAGACTCTGGACGCAGCGCCATCCTGAGTGGCTGGGAGGGTTCTAACTGTGTGCCCCGCTATCCAGAGCTTGGAACACGTGGCGACTCAGGCAACCTCAGGACAGGACATCACACACATACCTATTGAGCTCCCGGATGGCCCGGAGTCTGCGGATATAGCGACGGCAACTTGGCAGGATAGAGAGGTGGTGGGCGTGCAGCGTAAGAAAGAAGCATTCCGTAGGGAATTTCGGCTCAGAAAAGGGAGGCTGATCTCCATCTAGGAAAAAAAACACACCATTATCCCCTAAATAAAAGTGGTCGCAGGACTAAATCAAAGAAAACGCACAACCAATAATGCAAAATGACACTTGAATTTCCCAATAGTTTAATGACTCTTAAAAATTATAGACAATGCCCTAACCGGTTTGGCTCAGTGGATAGAGCTTTGATCTGCGGACTCAAAGGTCCCAGGTTCAATTCCAGTCAAGGGCATGTACCTGGGTTGCGGGCACATCCCCAGTAGGGAATGTGCAGGAGGCAGCTGATCGATGTTTCTCTCTCATCGATGCTTCTAACTCTCTATCCCTCTCTCTTCCTCTCTGTAAAAAAATCAATAAAATATATTTTTAAAAAAATTATAGACAATAAAAACTAAAATCTGGGGGGAAACAATTCCTAAAAAAAACATATAGACTTGACTAATGTTATAAGTAAAATAGAATTCCTGTGGGCTTGCTCCATTTAAAGAGCAGGTATTCTTCCCCGTCTGATGAAATGTCTACATATATGTACAGCAACAATCTTTTGTAATGTGTCTTCCCAATGTGTTTTATCTATGACCTGTATTCTTCAAAATGGGTGTTTCTTAATTTTCTCTATTAGAAGTGGTACTGGGAGAATCTATGTACAATAAATTACTCCCTCAGCCCAGCTTTGGGAGCACATGCTGGAAAGTGGAGTTACTGAGAATGATGAAATTCTAGCCTTTGTTATGAACCCCCAGAATCCACATTAGGTAGGCTACATAAATTGATTAAGTGCCACCAGTTCTTCACAAGCTCACATTCTTCTCTTATCACTTTGTTTTTGATGATTTATAGCTAGCTGATATCTTGAATTTCTTTCCATTTGTATCTTATTTCTCCTACAAGTACACATATTT